TATTTTAGCTGGCCTATTTAAGTTAATCGAGCCTATGTTTGATTTTTTTTGGCTCATTTCATTTAATCGAGCCCATGTTCGATTTAGTTTTATTTTTTTAAAAAAATTGAGCCTATAGTTGATTTTTAAATCACGGCACATTATTATTATTTAATTTGACCGACTAATTTATTTAATCCGAGTTTGATTTATTTTCTTAGCCCTGCATTTAATTCCTAAGTCCCGTTAATATTTTATATAGCCATATTATTATTTCGGCCCATTCATATCCTACACACGTTATATTCTTTATTGGCCCCAGTAGCATTTATTTTGAGACAAGTCAATTATTTTGAAATTTTATAGTCCAAGCTCAAGTATTACAAGTCTACATTTTGGGACCAATATCCCTATCAAACCCTAAATCGCTCCCCCATATAAATACACATTATCTCCTCACCATCATCACTCATCTTTCACCTTCTCCACCATTCGGCCACTTATCCAGCCAAGATTCGGGCGACCTTCAGCCCACAAAAACCAGCCCGTCTCGCTGCACCTCAGCACGTGGAGCCCGAGCCATTTCACGCCAGCCCTCGCACAGCCCACCTCGGCCCGCTGCCGTTCACCTCGCACCAGCGGCCGCTGTCAGCTTCGGAGACTTCCTTTGTGTCGGCAGCAACTCAAGAACCAAGCCGCGACGAGTGCCCCAGCACGCTACCACCTTCCCAGCTCCGGCGGGCTTCAACTTCCGGCATTCCGTGCCTCCCGCCGGCAAGAGCTCCAGCCACGACCACCCAGCCCAACGGGTCGACCCTGAGCCGGAATCGGTCTGGATCTCCGGGTCTACCCGTCGGGCTTGGTCCGGGTCAAAAAAACTATAGTTTTCGTTGATAAACATTGGATACATTAATTTTTGTCGTATAGTATTCTAGCCAAACAAAGAAATTAAAAGGAATATTAGTATTATTCATTTCTTTTATCCATTCTTCTTTTAATTTTTTTTATACGTATTATCTAGTTGTTTGAACCAAATTCTTTGAGTATTATTTTCTTCGACTTCTTCGTCATCGATTTTGCTATGATGCCAACAGTTGGCTCCATAGTGGAGCCAATCTTTATATACAACATGTAACACCCAGAATATTTTTACTTTTTATGGAGCTCGACTTTATTTCAATAAATATTAAGTTTCCTAATTTAATGCATTTAATTATTATTATTAAATTAAATTGAGTAATTAGTTTTATGTCTAAGACATGGACAATTTATTCGATTTTTAATTAAAATCGGATTTATTTAGCCCAAGTATCGGTTTTATATTTTAAACCGAGCGATGGAATGATTGATATTGTATTTAAGCGGACCAAGAACCGAATATTTATTATATTCGAGCCTAATCATTTTCGACCGAGTCCAATTATTTTGGTCGGCCTATTTAAGTTAATCGAGTCTATGTTCGATTTTATTTTGACTCATTTCATTTAATCGGGCCCATCTTCGATTTAGTTTTAGTTAATTTTAAAATCGAGCCTATAGTCAATTTTTAAATCATGACACATTATTATTATTATTTAATTCGACCGACTAATTTATTTAGTCCGAGTTTGATTTATTTTCTTAGTCGTGCATTTAATTCCTAAGTCCCATTAATATTTTATCTAGCCATATTATTATTTCGGCCCTTTTAAGTTAATCGAGCCTATGTTCGATTTTATTTTGGCTCATTTCATTTAATCGAGCCCATGTTCGATTTAGATTTAGTTTATTTTAAAAATCGAGCCTATAGTCGATTTTTAAATCCGGCACATTATTATTATTTAATTCGACCGACTAATTTATTTAGTCCGAGTTTGATTTATTTTCTTAGCCGTGCATTTAATTCCTAAGTCCCGTTAATATTTTATATAGCCATATTATTATTTCGACCCATTCATATCCTACTCCCGTTACATTCTTAATTGGCCCCAGTAGCATTTATTTTGAGACAAGTAAATTATTTGGAAATTTTATAGTCCAAGCTCAAATATTAGAAGTCCAAATTTTGGGACCAATATCCCTATCAAACCCTAAATCTCTCCCCCATATAAATATACATTATCTCCTCACCATCATCACTCATCCTTCACCTTCTCCACCATTCGGCCACTTTTCCAGCCAAGATTCCGGTGACCTTCAGCCCACAACAACCAGCCCTTCTCGCTGCACCTCACCACGTGGTGCCCGAGCCATTTCACGCCAGCCCTCGCGCTGCCCACCTCGGCCCGCTGCCGTCCTCCTCACACCAGCCGCCGCTGTCAGCTCCAGAGACTTTGCGTCGGCGAGCAACTCAAGAACCAAGCTACGGCGAATGCCCCAGTAAGCTACCACCTTCCCAGCTCCGGCGGGCTTCAACTTCTGGCATTCTGCGCCTCCCACCGACAAGAGCTCCAGCCACGACCCCCCAGCCCGATGGGTCGACCTGGAGCCAGAATCGGTCGGGATCTCGGGGTTGACCCGTCGGGCTGGGTCCGGGTCAAAAAACTATAGTTTTAGTTAATAAACATTGGATACATTAATTTTTGTCGTATAATATTTTAGCCAAACAAAGAAATTAAAAGGAATATTGTTATTTATTTCTTTTTTCCATTCTTCTTTTATTTTTTCTTTATACATATTATCTAGTTATTTGAACCAAATTATTTGAGTATTATTTTCTTCGACTTCTTCGTCATCGGTTTTGCTATGAAGGCAACAGTTGACTCCATATTGGAGCCAACCTTCTATATACAACATGTAACACCCAGAATATTTTAACTTTTTATGGACCTAAACTTTATTTAATTATTATTATTTACATTAAATTGAGTAATTAGTTTAAAGTCTAAGCCATGGAGAATTTATTCGATTTTTAATTAAAATCAGATTTATTTAACCTAAGTATCGGTTCTATTTATAAACCGAGCCATGGAGTGATAAGGGCTTCTAATATATTAATACTGTGGAGCAACCCCACAATTAATATATTAATAATATTAAAGTCCACCACAATAATATTATTGCACTCCCCTCACCTATCACAAATTACATTTGAGACTCCTTATTATAATTATCCGATTTACCTCCCCATGTTTAAGATATAATGTCCATTAATTAATTCAGTCACTAATAATCAAGAATTAATTAATATGTTATATTACCGAAGCTAGCGCTCGCTCATAGCATTCATATTATGCCGGAATAAATCCACCTGCAGAGTTTAGCATAATATTCCTTCATGAACTCACTTCGGGGACATCATCATACTAACGCACATGGTGACCGTAAATATCCTAATAGCACATCGAACACATAATGTCATTACCCAATTCATTAAGTATGTCGACCCAGCTTGGATCTCACCCAAAGAATCAAAGCAACAACAATTATGTGCACATGCCTATTTAATATCTTACGGGTTAAGAGCACGCAATAATTAACTGAGGCCTAGTTCGTTTACGACGATCAGTATAAAACGAACATCCCTCTCTGAGATCCTGCTCAATACATAAATGTACTAGTGCAACTAATCGGTCAAGACAAACCGTACGGCTGACAGTACAACTGTTCCGATGGGTTGTTCAATTCCATCTAGGTTGTGAACCAATGATTCTTGTTTCGCAAGTAACTAATATAGTGATCTTCGGTACGCCCGATGACGATCCATTTATCTACATGCAAAACAACAGAACGTGGAACTTATTTAACCAAACATAATTCTCATTCATCAAGAAATAACAAGTGTAATATCCACTAAAGCAAAGCTTAAGTATATAACACCAACAATCTCCCACTTATACTTAAAGTTGCCGCTTTACTAGTATAGTCCTATCAATCCGTATCCTAAAAGACCTATGTCGATCCTATCACCATACATTTGACTCCCATTCCCTCTACGTGTTTGGCGAAGACCTTCTCCGGCAAACTCTTCGTAAAAAGATCAGCTAAGTTGTCTTCTGATGCAATCTTGGTGATCTCAACTTCTCCTCTTGCCACAATATCTCTGATAAGGTGGTATTTGCGCTCTATGTGTTTGCTTGCTCTGTGGGCTCGTGGTTCCCTTAAGTTTGCTACTGCACCACTGTTATCACAGTACACGGTAATAACATGTGGCAAACTCGGAATCACTTCTAAGTCCACCAAGAAGTTTCTGAGCCAAGCTGCCTCTTTTGCTGCCTCAGAGGCTGCGATGTACTCGGCTTCCATAGTGGAGTCTGCTACGCACTTTTGCTTAGCACTCCTCCATGAAATGGCTCCACCTCCCAAGGTAAACACATAACCTGAGGTTGACTTACTCTCGTCCCTATCTGACTGAAAATCAGAATCCCTGTAACCCAGCGGAAACAAACTGTCTGCACGGTAAACTAACATGTACTCCTTAGTCCTTCGCAGGTACTTGAGTATATGTTTCACCGCAGCCCAATGTTCTCTTCCTGGATTACTCTGATATCTCGCTACCATGCAACAGCGTAGCTAATATCAGGCCTAGTGCACAGCATTGAATACATGATACTTCCTACTGCCGAAGCATAAGGAACTGTCTTCATGTCCTCTATCTCCTCAGTCGTCTTAGGAGACAACTCCTTAGATAAAGGTACTCCATGTCTGAAAGGTAATGTACCTCTCTTAGAGTTCTGCATACTGAATCTGGCCAAGACAGTATCTATATATGAAGACTGGGATAAGCACATTATTCTTTTCTCACGATCACAAATGATCTTGATACCAAAAATGTGTCATGTTTCACCCAAGTCCTTCATATCAAACTGCTTTGACAACCATGCCTTTACGTCTGACAACTCCTTCTTGTTGTTGCCAATAAGAAGTATGTCATCCACGTATACCACAAGAAACACCACCACGCTTCCACTAATCTTCTTGTATACACAGTGCTCATCCAGAAATTGGGTGAATCCATATGACTGGATTACCTCATCAAACCGAATATTCCAAGACCTTGAGGCTTGCTTCAGTCCATAAATGGATCGATTAAGCTTACAAACTAAGTGCTCATGCCCTTTTGCAATGAATCCTTCTGGCTGCTGCATATAGATGTCTTCCTGATGGTTCCCATTAAGGAAAGCCGTCTTAACATCCATCTGCCACACTTCATAATCCATATGAGTGGCTACAGCTAAGAGAATCCGAATGGATTTAAGCATAGCTACTGGCGAAAAGGTTTCATCATAATTGATACCCTCTTTCTGGGTATCACCTTTCGCAACAAGCCTAGCTTTAAAGGTTTCCACCTTTCCATCCGATCCCCTCTTTCTCTTGTAAACCCACTTGCATCCAATGGGACGTATCCCATCGGGTGGTTCTACAAGATCCCAGACCTGATTGGTGTCCATAGACCCCATCTCAGCTTTCATTGCAACCTTCCACGAATTTGCATCTCTATCTTGGAGTGCCTCGTCATAAGTTCTTGGGTCCGATTCTAGGTCTCTTGGAACTGAGTCCGATGACTCTCCAAGACCTATCCATCGGTCGGGTTGTGTAGAAACCCTCTCACTACGAAGAGGTACCGACTGTACTGACACACTATCAGTGTTACGTGTTGTATTACTATGTGATGTATCTACTTGCGCACTCGGTGGGGAACTACCGATATCTCTCCCTAACTCCTCTAGGACAAGTTTACTACTGGGCTTATGATCTAGGATATAGTCTTCTTCCAAGAATCTAGCGTTCGTACTAACGATCACCTTCTGATCCTCAGGACTATAAAATAAACCACCTTTCGTTTCCTTGGAGTAGCCGACAAACAGTCTCACTTCTGATCGTTTCTCCAACTTGCCAGCCTCCTGCACTAAGACATGTGCAGTGCAACCCCAAATTCGAATTTGAGAGAAACTAGGCTTGCGCCCTTTCCACAACTCATAAGGAGTACTATCTACTGATTTTGAAGGAACAGAATTCAGAATGTAACATGTTGTCTCTAATGCAAATCCCCAAAA